TAATATATATATATATATATATATATATATATATATATATATATATATATATATATATATATATATATATATATATGAATAAATGAAATTGAAAGTTAAAAACATATATTCTTAAATTTCAAACCGGTGAAATTTTAAAACAGAAGCAATTCCGTCACAAATCCATAAAGGTGACAAAAATATTTCCAGAATGGAATGGCATCCTATAGATCTGTACAATAAAGCGAGCGATCTATGCGGGAAAGTTTCACCTTTAAAGGTATCTAAACACATTTTATAGGCGAAGATAAATTAACAGTGATGTTCTAAAATCTAATTATCGAATTCAAATGAACAAGTCGTTACATAAAGAAGGAATACGGGCAAATATCTGTGTACAGCAGGTCAAAATAAAAAGAACAAAATAACAAATAGTTGATACGGTTTTGATGAAAGCGCATAGAAATGCACCACTAAACCTGAAAAATGCATTACTTCACCAACAGCAAAATAGTACTGGAACTTCTTACTATGTATTACTTACAATAATAAATATTACAATTGAAATCCCGAAATTCTATAAAATATTATGGTGAAATAAAAATCAATCGGTTCAAACAATGTTGGCATCCCCATCTTCATCCTCTTCAAAATCGTTATGAAATTCGAAGCCAACACTTGGCTCATCTATTTCTTCAATAAGAAATCTATTCAATTCTTGCTCGAATTCGAGAAAGTTTTCATCGTCATTCACTATCAGTACTTGTGCCTCATCATTAGCATCATCAGGCATTACCCAAAATTCCGCTTCCTCGCCAAAGTTGAACCTTGGATCTAACTGAAAAATCACAGCTCCTCTCAAGTCGTTTATCCAATCCAACACTAATGAATATTTGAAAATGGCGAACATGAAGCCACAAACATTTCTTTTTTTTGATCAAAATGATCACGTAGCAAAAAATCATAATGCTATACAGGATTAACTTTTGAAGAACTTACCAACAGCGCCGGATGTTCTCTCTCAATAAATTCACGAACAAAAGGATCATTTTCCATTTCCGCCAACAATTCATGCACATCGGCACCTGATCCACCATGCTCTGCATCCATATGAGCATAAATTTCTTTGCTTTCTACAGCCTGTAAAGTCCATGTCGAATATGGAGAGAAAATGACCAAATAAAGAGCAAATCCATGTTTCCGGAACAAACACATATGAGCATATGACAACCCACAGAAAACATGCAAATCCAGCAAAAATGTTGTTTGCATCGCGAGCACTGCATGTGATTGCATCCTCCGAACTTTTCAATGATAGTCTGGCAGTTTACATTTGGGCATATTCGTCGTCTTGTCTGATCTTCTCTAAACTGATGTATTATCGGTAGCTATAAGAATCTTTTTTAGGACCAAACACAGTCAACAAATATTTGACAAAAAGCATAAAGATCATTTGTATCGTAAGATTTTCACTGCAAATCACCAATCTATAAGTATGTATTTGATACCTTCAGGCAGTAGTGGCAAAACTGCACATCGGGGAAGATTAAGTACCGATCTCTTGAAAGGAACTCATAAAAGAGCACCATAACGCCCGTTGTGAAGTTCCACTTATCATCATGTTATTGGTAATTACAACTAGATTCTTTTCATTCTGTCAATTTACACATTTTCTGCCAAGTTTTATTGCCTGACTTGACAGTAATACCTCATCATTTAATTTCCGTTTGAAATACCACCTCACCTCCAAATATGTTTAAAGATTAGAACATTCCGAAATTACAAATCTGCCTTAGCATATAAAGAAAAATACCCATGAAAGCCACAAAATTAGAGTAAGCAAAGTAAAATGCGAAATGAAACGTACCTTATCCATTTCTTCACTGATTCATCAGCGTTTACTCTTATCCTTGCGTATTCCTCACATGTCATTGATTCATGTTTCTCCTTTCCACATCTAGTGCACTGTATACGACCACACAATCTACATTGGCCCAAACCAGCATCGGTTGTGACCTTAAAACTGTTAAAATAATCTAAAAAATTTGTAACAGCGTAACAGCTTGTGATAAAAAACCAAAAGGAATGTAAATAACTAACATGATGCAATCCTCGACAATCAGGAGTGAGGCAATGTTTATAGAGATGTTCGTGACGTTCAATGAAACAAGCCAAAGATGCATCTGATAATAACTGCAACCTTTGAGGGTCTTCATCTTTATTGCGATCTATGTCTCCAAGCACAAGAACTTCCAAATCTAACCACGTGAATGGTTTCTCACAAGCAACACAAACGATCGGAAAATCACGCGCTTCAATTGATGTTTTCAGCTGAATGAATTGAGCATATAAAAGGAGATTAAATGAGATGCAATAATCCTCAACAGGAATAAGTGAAGATTTAAAACGCATCCCTAATATTCGAATTATAATAAATATCACACTGGTTGAAAGTTATAATAACTGATAAACTTCAAAATATATAAAGCAAAAGATGAAAAAAGATAGTATGAAAAACAATTCAAAAAAGCTAAATGACAGTGCTGTATTGCTACTTTTCACAATTAAGATCTAACAAACATGGAACGTGTTACGAAGAATTAATTTCGAGATACTCGGAAAACAATTTACTTGCATATTTAAACACGATTTGCAGGCATAATGTCCACATGCTTCCAGACAATAGTTTTCCAAATCTGCAGCACAAAGGCAAACAACACATTCTGGTACCCCAATTTTACCGGAAGTAGTTACTGAAGAATCTCCCGACTGAATGCTGTCAGAAATAGAACGCAAGTTCTCGCATGCTCAAGCATTTTGACCTTACTCCATAAATTTATTCTCAAAGTATTTCATTAGTGGCTATTAATTATGCGTTGAGAATTTGTCTTACTCGCTATTTCCGCCTATATATAAAA